TCTAAATTTTCTACAATGAGCATTATCACTTTTATAATCAGAGAAAATTTTAACATAAAAAACAAAAAGAAGTATTATGGTTATGTCTCAGCTTTCGGTAGCATAACCTAGCTAGAAGACAATCCGTTATCACAAATTAAGCAAAAATGACTCTGATCAGCCAAAATGCATGTCATGACACACCTAAAGATCAGGGTACTGTGTTCATCAAGAGAGCCCTTCATAACTTCTTTTATTTTTTTATTTTTAAAGATTTTATTTATTTATTTGCGAGAGAGAGAATGAGAGACAGAGAGCATGAGAGGGAGGAGGGTCAGAGGGAGAAGCAGACTCCCTGCCGAGCAGGGAGCCCGATGCAGGAGTCGATCCCGGGACTCCAGGATCATGACCTGAGCCGAAGGCAGTCGCTTAACCAACTGAGCCACCCAGGCGCCCTTTCATAACTTCTTTTATACGTATCAATTCCAACAAGCTTGATTACCTGATGTTCTAGTAGCACTGCGGATACAGATACACTGAGCATGGTGTAAAGTGATAGGCCTAGCCTCACAGTAGGAAAAAAGTGACAAAAATAAAAATACAAAACAGACATTAACATTCACAAAGCAGCTGCAGGACAATTACGGCAGAATCATCCCTAAACAACTGAATATATTTCCACAAATATGATAACCGATATTCACTGTAACAACTCTTTTTTTTTTAATTTTTTAAATTTATTTGACACAGAGAGACATAGCAAGAGAGGGAACACAAGCAGGGGGAGTGGGAGAGGGAGAAGCAGGCTTCCCGCCGAGCAGGGAGCCCGATGCGGGGCTCGATCCCAAGACCCCGGCATCACGACCTGAGCCGAGGGCAGACGCTTAACGACTGAGCCACCCAGGCGCCCCCACTGTAACAACTCTTGAGTTGAACTGTTCAAAGGCAATTCCCTTTGAACACAGGCTGGCTGGTTGAAGAAGTGAGAAAAATTCCTAATACGTTTTAGAAAAAAGATTGATCATAAATATTTATGATAAAAAGTTAGAGTGCTTAAAGAGAATATCCTCAGCTCTCCAGAGCAGCTCACTCCTGCGAGTTCCACAGAGTTGGAATTTTACTATATTGAAAAGGATTTTATAGTTGGTTGCATCGACCAATACAAATCTGGAGAACAATCTAGAAGGAAATGATTAATGACTGCTTCTTTCCAAGGAAGTTTAAAAATAAGTAACCATAGGCATATCAGAATTAGTGTTAACACAGCAATCGCTACTAAATGCAGCCTGGATGTGGATGGCTTTTTGTTTGTTTTGTTTTGTTTTGTTTTTGCTTCACTCCATATTCCCAGCAGGATTTAGGTACCTTGGAGGTAGGTGGGACCTATTAGCTTATTAGGGTAAAATCAGTAAGCCCCATTCCATCACACACAGCACATTTGAACTGAAGAAACATATATTCTACCTCCTTCATACTTGCCTCTTGTGCTTCTGACTTCAAAAAGCAGGGATACAAAGACAAGGAAGAAACTGATTATGTTTATATCTGTGGAACAAAGATTATGCAAACTGCCAGCACTCCATTGTTTTTGTTTTCAGTATGGTTATCACAAAGCAAAAAGATAACTTCTACATCTGAAGCCTGATAATTTGAAAACAGACCTGAATATTTCCTCCTCTTTCAATAAGGCAGTAAACACCTTTCATTTTACTTATCTGTAAGGTACTTATTTGCTGATATGGACTAGTTAACTATTTCCATAAGAGCTTGACAGAGTCTATCTGAGGAAGCTGTTTCCTGAGTTACTCTGAAGGTACCGTCGCTGCTTTAACATTTGCCAAAAATCCAAGAAAGCATTAAAAAAAACTACACACACCCCCAGAGCTAACAAGAGAAAAACATAATCATAACCTTGGTTAATGGTTGGTCCTTTAGCACTCTGACCACTATGACCTCTCCAAGCTTCTATTTGTCTTTTGTTTGTTCCTTTTTCTTTTAAATAACCCTACTGGTTGTTTATCTGATTAACAAAAGTAATACATGGTCAACATCACAACATGAAGATGTATGAAATAAAAGTGATAATCTCTGTCTCCCCCACCCTCTCATTTCCCTGCCAAAGAAACCAATGTTAACAGCTAGGTGTATATTCTTACTTCTTCCTAGGCTTACAAAAAATATATATAATATATGGGAGGGAAGGGGTGGTTCACTTACTCGTTTTCAAACAAAAATGGATTATATACATTATTAGTCTTAAAAATATGGACACCTTCCAAGCCGGTATATACAGATCCTTCACATTCTTTTTAATGACTACAAAATATTCCATAAGATGGATAAGTCATTCATACCATCGCCCCACCTTTCCCAAAGCGTGGACATTTAAGGTGGATCCTTGTACCTATACTTCATGTCCTTTAATTTCAGTAACACGGATTCCCAGAAGTAGAGTTTCTGGGTCAAATGAAACATTTTCAAATGTTTAAAATTTTATCTTTAAACAAAATTAATTTTAGACCTTCAACATTTCTGTTCCCTTCTTCATTATGCAAAATTTTGGCATAAACCTTTCATAATGCTTTGCATATTTTATTTTTTAAAAGCACACGTATTATGTCAAAAAACACCCCTGTCATTTATGCTCGTGTACTTATAAATAAATAAATGCTTAAGTTATGGCTGTGATGGCCAGCGTTAAATCATTTTGCAAATGCTTCTGCCTTGGTTTATGAAAGTAGTAATTCACTGTGGAAACTCTACCCCCACAGTCATGTGGGCAACCCCGAAGTAGTAGCTTCCTCACCTTGTGACTCTCTCCACTGAGTGACGATATAGAGATCAAGACCTACATATTTTCTAATTGTCAACAGTTAACCTTAAAAAGTGTGTGTGGTGGGAAGACAAGTACACAGCAACGACGATAAATTGAAAGCCATTATGGGTTTCTAATATCCACAAATTATTTGTAGTATAATGAATAATTCTGTTGGTCTACACCAGAGACTATCTTTCATTTAAAAAAAAAAACAAAAAACCTATAACCAATGTGTTGCTATGATTACATGAACCTTTCAAAACCATAGTCCTCCAACATTTTTTAATAGAATTATTGGTTGGAATCCCACTTTTGCCTTCTTCCCCCCTCTACTTCAGATTCAGATTCTGATTGCAAACTGTAAAAAAAGGCCTTAAAGAAATGCATTAACCAACGAAGCTCCTTAAAATTTAATCTCAGACTCCTCTGTAGATTCTAAAGACCCAAGCACCAACAGAGATTGTTAAGACACAGCAAGTTTGACACAGAAGTATGTGACATGCAATTAATCTCCATTCATACCCTGCTCTACTTGTCAGCAAACAAAGGTTCTGCTTTAGAAGGAGATCTGAAGACTTCAATTAAAAACAGTCAGCTAACAAGAAAATAATCTAAGCTAAAGGAAGGTGACAGGTGCAGAAATGAGTTGTTTACCAAAGTGTCAGTTTTGAACAATAAAGAACTGCACATCAAAAATGTTAAAGGAGTGGATTTCATTGCAAGCCTCTGAAAATAAAAAGGAATTTTCTACTAAGGCTGCACACAAAACGGAAGTACAGTTTAACAAACTTGTAAGATAGGTTTTCTCTCATCAAATGACAGATACCAATAAGAAGAATCACTTTATATTTTTAAATGCAAGGGCAGAATTACCCTTTTTGCTACAGTTCCTTCTCTCCCAGAAACCACCACACTTAACAGCCTCTCTTTACATTCAACATCCAATATTGAACCAAGGGCAGAGGGAAAGGCTAGATTGCTTCTTCTCAGACACCCAGATGATGCTATTTTACCCTACAAATAGTTTTCTACTCTGAAAGTTTAGATTGACTCGGGTCATAAGTAAAGTGGATTTTGGAAACTTCACCTCAAAAGAAATACCTAGTTGACAGCTTTTACATAGAAGCAATCCAGAATGGAAACAGTGCTACAAACAGAGACCAAAAGGACTGCCAAATATTTGATTAGGAGGCATTTATACCGAGATAACAAGGTAATGGAGATATAAAACCAATTAAATTGAGAGAAACTGAAAAATATATATATATATATACTCCTTGCCAAAAGTCTGACCTGCCCAAAGCAGGCCATCTGTTAAATATGTGTCAAAAATGTCACTTGGATGCCAAAAGTCTTAACTCAGGGTAGTTTCCTCCTGGGACCCTTATGCAAGCACAGATTCCAGGCCTCCGTCCTTCCAGGAAAGTCAGTTACAGGAAAGCAAGTTACTTTCTCCAGAAAGAAAGTGTGAATGGAGCAGGTGATATTGCCCATTAGCAAAAAAGTCTCTTTCCAGTGTTAGAAGGATCTGTGGAGTGTCGCTGAGTATGGCCTTAACTCTTCAGAGGACTGCTTAGGCACCATAGTTTGAAGGTAAACACACCAGGATGGGGCATTTCTAGAAAAGTTAGAAACGTACTACTGCATCCGCCTGCCCTGGGTGGACAGCAAGACCCCCTGCAGTCTGCAGGTTGGCAGAGGGAGGCGCCGACAAAACTCACACTAAGCCCCAGGCCTTGGCCGACAGCATCCCACGAGCCCCTCGCAGCCCCCTGAGAGCCTCAAGGAGCTCTGAGCGGGAAGCTGAGGGGGCTTCGGGGCTGGGGAGGGAAGAAAGCAAAACCCCACAGGCGCGGGGGCCTGTCCCGAGGAGGAAGAGTCGGGCCGAAGACCACTCAGGGTGACATGGGGGGCCCCCCAAGAACCTGGCCGGAGGTGGCGTGGAGGGGTGGCGACGCCTCGTGGAAAAAGAAAATGTGGAACTGAGGCGAGTGAATGGGACCGTGCGCGGGCAGGGTGAGAATCTGGCTGTGCGGAGTTGAGGGCTCTAGAAGTCTCGAGGTTCTAGAAGGCGGCGGGTGATGGAGCTGAAAAGAGAGGCCCGTCTTGGGAGCCCCTGGCGTCTCGGGTCGGGCCTCCAGCTCTGCACCTGAGGGACTCCCCAGGGGGCCGGGAGGGGCCTGGGGCTGGGTCGGGGCGTTACCTTCCATGAGCCAACGGATCTCCTCGGGGAGGGCGACGGCCTGCATTTGGCCGGGCGGTGGGGAGGCCGGAGTGTGAGGCGGGAGAGGGGCGTGAAGGCCTGGTGCCAGGGCCGGCGGGCTGGCAGGCGGCTGTCGCCTGGCGGAGGCACCTGTACCTCTGTGGCCGCCGCCGCTGCCGCCGCTG